TGCTGGGATTATAGGCCACTGCACCCTGCCCCCAGCTAATTTTTGTATTTTTACTAGAGACAGGGTTTCACCATGTTAGTCAGGTTGGTCTCAAACTCCTGACCTCGGTGATCTATCTATCTCTGCCTCCTAAAGTGCTGCGATTACAGGTGTGAGCCACCGCCCCTGACCTTTTGCTTATTTTTTGATTGGTTGGTTTTTTTCTTATTGAATTTTAGGAGTCCTTCATACCTTTTGGATACCAGTTCTTGATCAGATAGGTGTTCTGCAAATATTTTGTCCCAGTCGGCCGCCTGTCTTTTTATTCTGTTAACAGAGTCTTTTCCAAAACGTTTTTGTTTTGAATGAAGTCCAATTTATCGATTTTCTCATTCACATATCATGCTTTTTGTGTTGTGTGTGAAACCTTATTGGCAAATCCAAGGTTGTCTTGGTTTTCACAAGCGTTATGTTCTAGAAGTTGTGAGGTTTGCATTTTCCATTTAAGTAAACGATTCAATAGGAAGTAGTTTTGTAAAAGGTGCAGTTCTGTGTCTAATTCATTTCTTTGCATTTGCTAATTCAGGTGTTTCAATACCGTTTGTCTTGTGCCACCATGCCTAGTGTTTTACTTTGTTATGGAGACGGGGTCTCCTTATGTTGCCCAGACTGGTCTCGAACTGCAGGGCTCAGTTGATCTGTCTGCCTTGGCCTCCGGGTTTGCTTTTTTTTTTTTTTTTTTTTGAGACGGAGTCTCGCTCTGTCGCCCAGGCTGGAGTGCAGTGGCCGGATCTCAGCTCACTGCAAGCTCCGCCTCCCGGGTTCACGCCATTCTCCTGCCTCAGCCTCCCGAGTAGCTGGGACTACAGGCGCCCGCCACCTCGCCCGGCTAGTTTTTTGTACTTTTTAGTAGAGATGGGGTTTCACCGTATTAACCAGGATGGTCTCAATCTCCTGACCTCGTGATCCACCTGTCTCGGCCTCCCAAAGTGCTGGGATTACAGGCTTGAGCCACCGCGCCCGGCCTTATTGAGCATTTTTAATCATGAGGAGATATTAACCTATTTATGCTGGAGGTTGCACTTTTTTGAATTGCAGACGTGTGAAAAATCAGACTTTGGCCATGACCTTGAGCAGTAGGAAATAAATAACTCCCACATCCTTAGCGTTCCAAAAATGGAACACTAGGCATAAATTGGTTAAGGCTTGTCAGATGCCTTTTCTGCCTCTATTAGGACATTCTTATGGTGTTTTGTTTGTTGGTTTTAAGACAGAGTCTCACTGTGTCGCCCCAGCTGGAGTGCAGTGGTGTGATCTCAGCTCACTGCAACTTCCGCCTCCTAGGTTCAAATGATTCTCCCACATTGGCCTCTCAAGGAACTGGGACTATAGACACATGCCACCACCCCTGGCTAATTTTTGTATTTTTTAGAGATGGAGTTCCACCACGTTGGTCAGGCTAGTCTCAAACTGCTGGCCTCAAGTAATCCACCCACCTCAATCTTCCAAAGTGCTGGGATTACAGGCATGAGCCACCATGCCTGGCTGCTAGCATGATTTGTTATCATTACTTATCTTAAAAGAATGTAAAACTTACCAGCTGAAGAAATTTTACATGTACAGTTGCGATGGTTTGACAAATCTACTTAAGTTCTCTAAGATGAATTCTATTGTATTTTGCTTTTTTCAATTATCCGGAGATTTCATGCATGTTGTAGTATGGGCCAAGATTTCATTTTCTTTTCTTTTTTGTTTTTGAGTCGGAGTTTCACTCTTGTTGCCCAGGCTGGAGTGCAGTGGCGCAATGTTGGCTCACCTGCCTCCTAGGTTCAAGCAATTCTCCTGCCTCAGCCTCCCGAGTAGCTGGGATTACAGGCACATGCCAACACGCCTGGGTAATTTTGTATTTTTTGTAGAGATGGGGTTTCTCCATGCTGGTCAGGCGGATCTTAACCTCAGACCTTCAGGTGATCCGCCCGCCTTGGCCTTCCAAAGTGCTGGGATTACAGGCATGAGCCACCATGCCCGGCTGAGATGTCATTTTCTAATAGTAAATAATATCGCATTTTATGTATATGCTTACCACATTTTGTTTTTCCATTCAGCCGTCAATGGATAGGTTATTGGCTGCATTGCTCATTACTGCCACCTCAGGAAGGTTGTATAGTGGTTAAATCTGTGCTTATTACACCTGGGTATCTCTTAGGAGTTTCTTGTTTGCCCTCTTGTGTACATACAGTGCCAGGTTTTTTTTAGGAATGTCCCCTTTGCCCTGTCAGCATCTAGCTACATTCTGACAGGATAACTGCAACGTGAATGATTCCTGGACATCATAATGGAAGTTTCTTTCTATCCAGGTGATTCCCCTACTCTCTGTTTATATCTAGCATACCTGTTTTGGGTAGTCCCTGGGGGTGTGGGATTTCCCAGGGGCTCCCCCTCATGCTCTTTGCTAGCTATCTGCTTCATCTGACAATATCAACAAAGATTACACTTTGGGAACAGGCATTTTCAAGGATGCACAGCCTCAGGTCTGCTAATGTTAACTTTGTTCTGCATATGAATTCATAGGTGTCTATTATGACAGGTGCTGCAGACCCACAGTCCAAAGAGACATTAGGGACAGCCCAGGCAGTTCACTTTTCTCCCTGGGTTCAGTGAATACACACATTTTCCTATCCTGCAGTGACTTTGACTTTACCCCTTGTTCAGTTCTAGCATCACAGTTGCTTTATGAAGTAGCCAGGTGTTGTGGGACATGCCTGTGGTCTCAACTACTCAGGAGGCTGAGGCCTGACAATCACATGAACCCAGGAGTAAGACGTTGTAGTGAGCCAAGATGGTACCACTACACTCCAGTCTGGGTAACAGTGCAAGATACTGTCTTTAAAAAAACCAAAAACAACTGCTGGCAGGGCATGGTAGCTCATGCCTGTAATCCCAGCACTTTGGGAGGCTGAGGCAGGCAGATCACCTGCGGTCGGCAGCCTGACCAACATGGAGAAACTCTGTCTCTAGTAAAAATACAAACTTAGCTGGGTATGGTGGCACATGCCTGTAATCTTAGCTACTCAGGAGGCTGAGGAAGTAGAAGTGCTAGACCCCAGCGGTGCAGCCTGGGCGACAAGAGTGAAAATCTGTCTCAAAGAAAAAACAAAAACAAAGTCAGTACGCCTCCACGCCTTAATCCGAGCACTGCAGGTCAATGACGCACAACACTAGCAGGAAGTCAAGACCATCAGCCTGGCCTAACACACGTGAAACGCCCTACGAAAAATACAAAAAACTTAGCCACAGCGCCTGTGGCAGCGACTGTAGTGACCAGCAGCTACCGCCGGAAAACAAGGTCCTGACGGCCAGAGAATACTTGAACTGGTCGAAGGGGGCGAGGCAAAGCTTGAATCCGAGCCACAAGATCGCGCCACTGCACACCAGTGGTACGAGGAACGCGACGGACTCGTCCAAACCAACAAACAAAAAAAAAATTGCATTTATGAAGAAATTTCTCCCTGTATATACAGAGGGAAAGGGATCTGATGAGCAAACGCGGAGTGTTTGGAGCCACGGCATCCTGAAACATCTTGGGAATAGAGTCTACCGGCCCCCAGTGCTTCACTACTCACCATCCTCCTCTACACATTGCAGAGATGTTTTCAGGCCCGGTGCTTTGATGAGTGTGCTTGACTCACCCAGGAGGAGGGGTTGCATGGATATTCTTTCCAGAAGAACTCTACAGGGAAGCGTATGCTGGAAACCTTATCAGGAAGCCTGACCTCTTTAGGTAAGAATGACAATACCCTCCCTCAGTCATTATGGAACCAGGTTTCTAGCTCATCCAATGCGTTGATTTTAAGAACATAAACAGGAAATACTTTGATGAAATAAATGAAGATGGCTGCTAAAATCATGGGCATACGAATCTAATAAGTTTTTCACAATTAAGCCACAGGACTTATTTTGTGTCTCTGTATTTAAGGGAAAATTGGAAAGACCAAGAACATTGAATAGTGAGTAGCCAAAACCCCAGGAGAAACTTCAGTAATTTTACTTACAAGACAAGGCAGTGTCTCTCTAGACAATCCTAAATATACAACTAATTCGAAAAAAGTAAATACAAAGAACTAACCAGACAAGTTCATTTATTTTAGAATATTGACCAAAAAATAAAAAAAAAAAAGTAAAGTGGCATAGCTGTGAGCTCATTCTGTAACCACAATCCTTTGAGAAGTAGAGATAGGAGGATAGCTTGAGTCCAGCAGTTCAAAAACAGCCTGGGCAACATAACGAGACCATATATCAACAACAGCAAAAAATTAGCTGGGCAGTGTGGTATGCATCCATGTCCCAGCTACTCAGGAGACTGAGGCAGGAGGATCACTTGAGCCAGTAAAGCCTGCCGTAAGCTATGATGGTTTCACTGCACTCCAGCATGGATAACAGGACTAGACCCTGAAACAAAAGAAAAATGACACAGAGTATTTAGTATTTGTAAAATAGTTTACTTGGGAAGAGTATTAAGAAGCCCCATATAAACATTTTTTAAAATAATAGTTATGGCTGGGACACCTTGTAGAACACGTTGTCCAGTCACCTTCAAACAATTCAGCCAGGGCCGAAAGCCTACACTTTGATGGACAGTGTTAAAAATGCAAGTGCAATACTTGATGATGAATATAAAATTACTTATAAACAAACTCGTCATAATGTGCTTCTCATGTTTTACAGGAGTCTCATAGAAGAGAAAGTCAATGAAATTAAAGAAGATAGTCATTGTGGAGAAACTTTTACCCAGGTTCCAGATGACAGGCTGAACTTCCAGGAGAAGCAAACTTCTCCTGAAGTAAAATCATGTGACAGCTTTGTGTGTGGTGAAGTTGGCATAGGTAACTCATCTTTTAATATGAGCATCAGAGGTGACATTGGACACAAGGCATATGAGTATCAGGAATATGGACCGAAGCCATGTAAGTGTCAACAACTTAAAAAAGCCTTCAGATATCACCCCTCCTTTAGAGCACAAGAAAGGGATCACACTGGAGAGAAACCCTATGTTTGTAAAGAATGTGGAAAAACCTTTGTTTCCCATTCAAGCATTCAAAGACACATGGTAATACACAAAGGAGATGGACCTTATAAATGTAAATTTTGTGGGAAAGCCTTCCATTGTCTCAGTTTATATCTTATCCATGAAAGAACTCACACTGGAGAGAAACCATATGAATGTAAACAATGTGGTAAATCCTTCAGTTATTCTGCTGCCCTTCAAATACATAAAAGAACTCACACTGGAGAAAAGCCTTATGAATGTCAGGAATGTGGGAAAGCATTTCATAGTCCCAGATGCTGTCGTAGACATGAAATGATTCACATGGGAGAGAAGTCTTATCAATGTAAGGAATGTGGGAAAGCATTCACGTGTCCCCATTATGTTCGTAGACATGAAAGGACCCACTCTGGGAAAAAACCCTATGAATGTAAGCAGTGTGGGAAAGCATTATCCTCTCTTACTAGTTTTCAAACACACGTAAGAATGCACTCTGGAGAAAGACCTTATGAATGTAAGATATGTGGGAAAGGCTTTTGTTCTGCAAATTCATTTCAAAGACATGAAAAAACTCACAGTGGAGAGAAACCCTATAAATGCAGGCAATGCGGTAAAGCCTTCATTCATTCCAGTTCCCTTCGATATCATGAAAGGACTCACACTGGAGAGAAACCCTATGAATGTAAGCAATGTGGGAAATCCTTCAGATCTGCCTCACACCTTCGATTGCATGGTAGGACTCACACTGGAGAGAAACCCTATGAATGTAAGGAATGTGGGAAAGCCTTCAGATCTATGAAGAACCTTCAAAGTCATGAAAGGACACAAACACACATAAGAATACACTCTGGAGAAAGACCTTATAAATGTAAGATATGTGGGAAAGGCTTTTATTGTCCCAAATCATTTCAAAGACATGAAAAAACTCACACTGGAGAGAAACTCTATGAATGCAAGCAATGTGGTGAAGCCTTCAGTAGTTCTAGTTCCTTTCGATATCATGAAAGGACTCACACTGGAGAGAAACCCTACAAATGCAAGCAATGTGGGAAAGCCTTCAGAGCTGCCTCAGTCCTTCGAATGCATGGTAGGACTCATCCTGAAGATAAATCCTATGAGTGTAACCAGTGAGGGAAAGCCTTCAGATCTGCCTCACACTTTTGAGTGTGTGGTAGGAGACACAATGGAGAGAAACCCTATGAATGTAAGGAATGTGGGATACCCTTCAGATCTGCCAAGAACCTTCGAATTCCTGAAAGGACACAAGCATACATAAGAATGCATACTGGATAGCTGAACAAAAGGCAGCAGAAACTTCTGCAGACTTAAACATCCCTGTCTGACAGCTTTGAAGAGAGTAGTGGTCCTCCCAGCAGAGTTTGAGATCTGAGAACAGACAGTCTGCTTCCTCCAGTGGGTCCCAGAGCCCTGAGTAGCCTAACTGGGAAGCACCTCCCAGTAGGGGCCAACTGACACCTCATACGGCTGGGTGCCCCTTTGTGACAAAGCTTCCAGAGGAAGGATCAGGGAGCAACATTCGCTGCTCTGCAATATTTGCTGTTCTGCAACCTCTGCTGGTGATACCCAGGCAAACAGGGTCTGGAGTGGACCTCCAGCAAACTCCAACAGACCTCAGCTGAGGGTCCTGACTGTTAAAAGGAAAACTAACAGAAAGGACATCCACACCAAAACCCATCTGTACATCACCATTGTCAAAGACCAAAGGTAGATAAAACCACAAAGATGGGGAGAAACCAGAGTAGAAAAGCTGAAAATTCTAAACATCAGAGCACCTCTTCTTCTCCAAAGGAACGCAGCTCCTCACCAGCAATGGAACAAAGCTGGATGGAGAATAACTTTGACGAGTTGAGAGAAGAAGGCTTCAGACGATCGGTAATAACAAACTTCTCCAAGCTAAAGGAGGATGTTCGAACCCATTGCAAAGAAGCTAAAAATCTTGAAAAAAGATTAGATGAATGGCTAACTAGAATAAACAGCATAGAGAGGACTTTAAATGACCTGATGGAGCTGAAAACCATGGCACGAGAACTACGTGATACATGCACAAGCTTCGGTAGCCAATTCGATCAAGTGGAAGAAAGGGTATCAGTGAAGATCAAATGAATGAAATGAAGCGAGAAGAGAAGTTTAGAGAAAAAAAGTAAAAAGAACAAAGCCTCCAAGAAATATGGGACTATGTTAAAAGACCAAATCTACATCTGATTGGTGTACCTGAAAGTGATGGGGATGGAACCAAGTTGGAAAACACTCTTCAGGATATTATCCAGGAGAACTTCCCCAACCTAGCAAGGCGGGTCAACATTCAAATTCAGGAAATACAGAGAATGCCACAAAGATACCTCTCAAGAAGAGCAACTCCAAGACACGTAATTGTCAGATTCACCAAAGTTGAAATGGAGGAAAAAATGTTAAGGGCAGCCAGAGAGAAAGGTCGGGTTACCCACAAAGGGAAGCCCATCAGACTAACAGCGGATCTCTCGGCAGAAACTCTGCAAGCCAGAAGAGAGTGGGGGCCAATATTCAACATTCTTAAAGCAAAGAATTTTCAACCCAGAATTTCATATCCAGCCAAACTAAGCTTCATAAGTGAAGGAGAAATAAAATCCTTTACACACAAGCAAATACTGAGAGATTTTGTCACCACCAGGCCTGCCTTACAAGAGCTCCTGAAGGAAGCACTAAACATGGAAAGGAACAACTGGTACCAGCCACTGCAAAAACATGCCAAATCGTAAAGGCCATCAATGCTAGGAAGAAACTGCATCAACTAACAAGCAAAATAACCAGATAATATCATAATGACAGGATCAAATTCACACATAACAATATTAGCCTTCAATGTAAATGGCTAAATGCTCCAATTAAAACACATAGACATGCAAATTGGATAAAGAATCAAGATCCATCAGTGTGCTGCATTCAGGAGACCCATCTCACGTGCAGAGATATACATAGGCTCAAAATAAAGGGATGGAGGAATATCTACCAAGCAAATGGAAAACAACAGCAATAATGAAAAAGCAGGGGTTGCGATCCTAGTCTCTGATAAAACAGACTTTAAACCAACAAGGATCAAAAGAGACAAGGTCATTACATAATGGTAAAGGGATCAATTCAACAAGAAGAGCTAACTATCCTAAATATTTATGCACCAAATACAGGAGCACCCAGATTCATAAAGCAAGTCCTTAGAGACCTACAAAGAGACTTAGACTCCCACACAATAATAATGGGAGATTTTAACACCCC